TTAGTTGGAGCCAAGGCATTACGTAGGTGGTGGGGTGGGTGCCGAAAGGCCAATGAATTGGGCTCTTGAGTTTTGTAATTTTAGGTAAGCTAGGACCGTAATGTAATGAATAGGTAGGTTAAGGCTACGTTGTAACACATACTCATTAATAGATTTAGGGTTTAAGTTTTATATTATTACTAAGTTGGAGCCCAAGGCATTACGTAGGTGGTGGGGTGGGTGCCGAAAGGCCAATGAATTGGGCTCTTGAGTTTTGTAATTTTAGGTAAGCTAGGGCTTAATTGTAATGAATAGGTAAGTTGAGGGTACGATAGCCGATAGACTCTGAATTTCGAAGTCTCTTGTCAGAGGTAAGCCTTGGTGGCCAGTGGTGAACCGGCAATGGTTTACTATCCGGACGGCAATGGTTTACTATCTGCACGGTAATGAATTACTATGCGGCATGGCCATAGTCTACTACCCGCACGGCTTCCGGACGGCAAATGGTTTACTATCCGCAAGGCAGTAGTCTACTATCCGCACGGCAATGGTTTACTATCCGGTGCCCTGGCTGTCGGTGAACCTCTGTGCAAGGAGGGAGAATGAAGGGGAACTTTCGACTATCGTACCAATAACAATTTATTATAGATTAGTTAAGGTAATTGAATAGGTAGATAGGATTATTTTTATTAAGCAATTTAAGATGCAGGCACCGCTAAGCTTTCTAGTGAGAATTTTCTCTTTCTCCATTCCACGGGCTGTGTTTTAACAGCAATCTCGAGGAGGACTGGCACCAGTTTTGGAGGACAACGCAGGAAACGGAAGGCACTCATCATTTTGCCTGTGTCGAATGGACGACGGTAAGTTTTTTTTACATTTTACTCTCTTTATTATTTTCAAATATTATTTATTTGCCATTATTTCCATTTTATAATTTTTTGCTTCTAAGATTCTAACATTCATTTACTACTAAGCTAATAAAAATAACTTGTCTACAGACTGATGAGAGGTGGGCAGTGGTGGGCGTCAGCACGTTTCAGATGGTGGTCTCATGATGATCGTTCCGATAACAACTCGAAGAAAACAACAACGACGATTTTTGAAGTATGGTTTAGTTTCGTTGTTTTTATTTTTTTCATTCATTCATTTTGTCACACAATCTTTTCATTCATCCATTAATTGACTCATTCTATTCATTCATTGAATCATAGATTGGTTAATTAATTCATTCAATCACTCAATCATTCGCTCAATCATTTATTCGTTTGTTCTTTCGTTTTAACATTCATTTACTACTAGGCCAATAAAAAAAATTTGTCTACAAAATGATCAGAGGTGGGTTGTGGTGGGAGTCAGCACGTTTCATAATGGTAATCTCATGGTAAGATAAGTTGCTTCTTACTTTTTTTCAATGGCTTGTTTTTTATTTTAAAAAATTAATTTTTTCTTTCAATTTTGTTTTTCAGTATCCGGTAAAATTCATTTCCTCGGTGCGTGTCAGATGATGGTCGGTGCAATGGAGGTTCGTCCGTAGTGGGTGAAGAAGTTTTTGGGGGGTACGCGCGCGCACATTTACATACACGCACACACATAAATACAACACACGCATACACAACATCCATTCATTCGGTGTCGTTGTTGTTATGTTTCTCTTCAACTTTCTATTTTCTTTACCGGACTTAATTTAATTCATAGGTAAGTTAGGGATTGAGATGAGTTGAACAACTGTAGGTAGGCTAGGGCTTAACATTAGTTAAAAAGTTTCAAGTAAAATATTAACATTAACATAAATTAAAAGCTTCAAGTAAAATTAAAACGTTAAAATATGTAAAATAAATGAGTTGAGTTATCATTACAGGTAAGCTAGGGCCCTGAGAGTAATTTAATTGTAGGTAGGTGACTGACTACTATTCTTGCGACTTTTTAATATTTTTTTTGTGTGTTTGTTTTCGCTTCTTAGCACCACACAACACCAACAAAACAAACTACAATTTTTTTTGTCGTCGCCTTAAATTTTACCATTTTTGAATCAATCTTTTTAATAATATCTATTTATTTATTTTTAAAATGTTGACTGGTTTCTAGTTTCTTATTTTGGTTATATAATTTTTGGATATTTCCTGATTTACTTTGTATATATGCATGCATGAATAATTTCTGTTTGGTATGTTGATTTAGTCATTATGATATGCTGTGAACTGTCCTTACTAAATATTCATGTTTCGTGATAATTATTTTTTATCGATCGATATTTTGTTATATTTGTTTAAAATCTGAACTTTTTAAAAAATTGACGTTTAACAAATTTTAATTTCGTCACTTTTCATCTTTTGATGATGTCAAATAAAAGCAACTGTTGTGTTTTTCTTTTCTTACTAAAATCTCGAATACAAACATGTACACATAAAGAGACACAGACACACATACACACAAACATACACATACATACACGCATACATACATACTGCCATCATATATACGCAGTACAATAAACATTCATGTCATTTCTGTCAATGTATTTTAAGTATGTTATACTGTTAATCTTGTTAACTATGATGACGATCATCATCATCACAACCATCATCAACGAACAACAATATAATAATAATTACAACAACAACAACGAAATAAAAATAGTTGTTCTCATTATGCATTTCAAAAGCTAATACAATATATAGAATATACAATATAATACAATATGTATAAAAGCTAATACTATAACGCTTTTAATACAAGCGTTATATATATATATATATATATATGTGTGTGTGTGTGTGTGTGTGTGTGTGTGTGTGTGTGTGTGTGTGTGTGTGTGTGTGTGTGTGTGTGTGTGTGTGTGTGTGTGTGTGTGTGTAAAAATTTAAAAAAATAAGCGGTTTTTTGAAGAATTTTAATTTTTAAATGTTAATGACTTTAAAATTGAAAAACATGAATGAAAAACGTTTAACGAAGAAAAGAATAATTAATAATTTTTAATGTTATAGTTCAATTTCTAAAACTAAATAGATCTGTCCGCCGATAATGAAGTAAAAATCAAGGAATTATATAACTGGAAGCGCCCTACCAGCGTTTTAACATTGAAAATTTTTTTCAACGGCAAGTTACCTCTGGAAGCAAGTTTCTAAAAATTAATAATTTGTTTTAAAAGTGAAACTATCTTTTTAACAGATACGTTTAAAATTTTGTTACACATTTTGTAATGTATCATTTTTTTATAACTTTATAGAGTTATATATGAAGTGCCGATTGGCACTTCATACATTTTGGTCATTTATTCTTCTTTAATGAAAAATTTTTTTTAAAAAACAATTTTTCAATAATGGGAAATCTAATACCAACACAAAAATATTTTTTTAGTTTTAATTGAAACACATTTTTTTAATTCATGCAGTAGAGGGTTAATTTTGTAACTTTAATTCAACTACAATGGCAAAATATCACAAAAAAACTCTTAAATAAGTTACCAGAGTTGTTAAATACCCGAACTTTTACATATTTTTTTAAAAATTGGTTAAAAAAGTGATAAAGTTCTTATGATTATTATATCACAAAAGCTTGGACCTTATGAAAGATATTATCAGTATACGTTAGCCATGGCACTGTATTTAGATTTTTAGCCATTTAAAACAATTTTCACAAGGTTAACAACGAAATTTTTTCATTACATATCTGTCATTTTTCAATTGTGATAGATCTCATAGATCTCTTTGTTATAAGCCAGGAAAGGAAACTTAAAAATTTACAGGGTCAGTAGCTCGGTCGGGCGTTATAGGACATATACGAGGAGATGGTATAATAGTTTGGACAAGCGCTTTGTACAGCCGTAGCAGGCAAAATTATTTTTTTCAATTAACGTAAATTTTATTTCAAAATCGAGTGCAACGATTTTGAAAAACAAAAAGTTTAATAGATAAAAATGTGAAAAGAAAGTCTTAAACATTTGTTATCTTGGAGAAATTAAAAAAGAACAAGTTGCAGTTATCAAACCAAAGCAAGATTAAACATTGTGTGAGTGTTGAAGCGATTTCACTCGCTCGTCGAAAAATGCCTGATGTTTGATATGGCATGTAAGGTGTAACTGCAGGCCCTCACAATGCTAGAAACCTGGTTGTTATTATTGTTATTCTTTAACAAAATAAAAATCTGTTAGATGCTGAAACTGTTACAACATGCGAGACAACAATATAAAATGAAAATATTATAACGGAAAATATTTAACGGAGAAAGACTGTTTGTTAGTTTTTACTTTGTTGTAGAATCTTGAATTGAGTGTGTTGAATGCTTGAAGAACAGTAAGACATGACGATGGTAGGCAGATAGTTGAGGTGAGTTAATTTTTTGATGAGAGGTTGTAGTCGTTGTTGTTGATTCGTAGGAAGGAGGAAGGAGCTGCTTGTTTGATATGCACGATGATGAGTGATTCAGTGGTGCCGAATACTTTGATGCCTCTGAGACCATGGGAGCGGAGTTTTTTGAGTGCGTGAAATGTTTGAAGACCTTTTTGATGATATGATTAATATGAGGTGTTATATCAAGTGTGGAGGTGAATGTGATGCCTAATATTTTTAATTGATTCGAGCGAGTGACTGATGGGTGCTCCGTTTTGGAGTTTTGAATAAAGATCTGCGGTAAAATTGAAACATGATAGATGAATAACCCTATTGGATTAGAGGTAAAAGGACAGAACTCCTTTCAAAGCAGCATGCATGTAGCTGTTTATTTAGAATATTTGACCAGGTTGAATTTTATTGATTATTCATTATTGCTGCATTAAATTTGTTGAATTGTTAAAACAACTCGTCTTTAGATGCTCAAAAAGTTAATAAATCTAAAATAAATTATCAACGTTTAAGAAGAAATTTAAAAAAAATGAAAAAAAACAAGAGAAATTTTTGACATACAGCTAAAATGTTTACAAAATTATTGAAACACCCACGTTTTAGTGACGCATATGAAACAAAATTAATAAAAATATAAAAATTTTATGTCGTCAGATGGACATGAAATTTATTGGTTTTTAGACTGTCGGAGCCAGGAAATGACGCGGTAAATTAATTGACTATTACATCCCAACGGGCCCACATCCAATCGATCGTCATCTATAATGAATAATTGCCTGTGCAATAATTGTGATTACCAGATTTTGTTTCTCTAATGTTTATTTGTTTATTTTATATTTATAATTTAGTTATTATATTTTTTAGTTTATTTTATATTTATTTATTTATCCAGCTGCTCATTAAACAAACTTACGTGAAAAATTGTGAATCCAATTTTTTAAATGACTCATTAGCGTTACTGCCTGATCATTTTTTTCTGATTAAAAAGTTTATTTTTCCACCTGAATGAATACTGCAGTTTTCAAGTGATTAACAAATGAAATAAAAAATTTAAAATGTCATATTTTGAAATTTTTCAATAAAAAGTGTTTCTTTTAATTTGTTATTGTTTCTTTAATTATTTGTTAAGAAAATAAAACATCAAAATTTGTTTCAATAAAACGCCAGCATTTTTTTTACTCGGTGACTCAGTATTAAAAATAATTAAATTTAAATTTTTACTAAAATTAAAATCAAACGAGCTGTCAAATTCACCAATTAATAAAAAATTTTTATGACAGGTTGACATTTTAAGACGTCAGGGTCCAAGTTGTTTTCAAAGGAATACTGCTGAAGACACCTGCACATGACGTTGTTTTTAAATTTGCGGTTAGACTATTGATCGAAAATTGTTAAGAATTTCTTTTCAAGCGATGAACAAACAAAGGCATAACTTGTCTGTGTTTGTCGCCAGATTAAAAAATTGATTGTAAAGTTGTGCAACAATTCATAGAAAAAAAATGCAAAAGTCAAAAACCAACACCTGCTTCTCAATTTTTTAGTTAAATTATGGAAGCTGCGTTTTTCTAAACTCACAATTTATGAAATTTCCTTCCTTATAAATACCAATCATGGGTTCACTTGTTCATCCGTTTGAAAACTTTTTGTCATTAAAAAAAGCTTAACGGAAATGTTTGGGAAAATTGTTCTGATAACTTTTCTGGGTTGCCTGTTGACGACTTGCATGGCTGATGAGGATTCAACTCTTCCTCCAGAATATGTCGAGGTAATGGTACCGGTTACGGTTAATTTGTGTTGATTTAAATAAATTTTGCTCTCATTCCAATTCCAGGCAACAGTTTTATTATTTTCAAGTATAACAAATAATTTGGTTAGCAGAAATATTAATGTGAGACATTAATTGTTTTTGTATTTCAAAGCAGTTGGAGAAACCATGGTGCTCCTATGGCGACGGAAGAGACAAAAGATTCTCCATAGTTTGTAAGCATTTTAGTATTATTCACATGGAGACAGAAGCGTAGCCAAGGAAGGAGCTTCAGTGCTGAAGTCCTTCCACGATAAGTATTTTTGCTAGGATCAAAGTTAAATTAAACAACAGATGTTGTAAACTCTATAAATTTCGTTTAAAAATTGTTGGAACTTTTTAAAATCTGCAATTTTTGCCAAATTTGAATATGAAACACAAGTTTTGATATGGAAATTATTAAAAATATGTTAAATTAGCAAGAAAATCCTCAACTAACCTTAAATCTAGTTTCCCCATCCCAGGAAATTTATGGCTACGACACTGCTTAGAACATTTGTTTTAAAAATAAATTTTAAATTTTTGTACTCATATTTTTGTCAAAAAGCCAAGTGGAACAAGAGAAAAGAATTTGATTACCATATTTTCAATTACCCGAGCAAAAAAGTGGAAATAACCAATGCAGATGTGGACAGAATTATTGACTCTGCTTGGAGTGTACGCCATAAATATTTATTTTAAAATTCAAAAATTTTTACTAACAAAATTTATACATCATTAAAAATTGAAATTAAGGTTTGGTCAGGTGCAAAAATTGGGCTCAAGTTTACCAGTTCAAATCTAGAAACTGCAACCATAAAAATTTTTTTCGTGGCAGGAAATCATTCTGACAAATGGCCTTTCGACGGAGAAGGCCACGTTTTGGGTCATGGATTCTATCCGAAAGATGGTATAATACATTTCGATGATGACGAAAAATGGGGTGACAAGAAAGGTAAAGGTTAAACTTTTTATTCCTCAACAGATTAAATAAAATTTTTACAACCCGCAACAGAGGTGTAGCCGAAGGTAGCTTTGGTGTTGAAACCTAAAAATGAATAATTAAGGATGGGATAAAGTAAAATTGAAAAAATTGTTTATAAGTTTAGACAGTTTGTTTCCACAAATCAAATCTGGTTTGAATTGTTATGTAAACTAGGCCAGCAAGTGGATTAAGAGAAAATTAAAGGTCGCCAACTTTTGTAAAAAAAAATCCGAGCCTCCTACGATGAATTTCTACTATTTTTTTAATTTTAACTTAGCAAAAAAAGTAAATTTTCATTTAATTTTTGGTTCACTTTTAGGAAAACAACTTCTCTATGTGGCGGTTCACGAATTCGGCCATGCTCTGGGTTTGGGTCATTCAAACGACAGTTCTTCCATCATGCTCCGATCATACACTGGTTATAGAGCTAATATCGTGCTGTCTCAGGATGACATCGACGGAATCAAAGAAGCTTTTTCGGGGTAATAAAACTGTAGATCAAAAGACAAATTCATGAAATAAAATTTAACGATTTTAAATTAAATAATATTCACATTTTTCAATGTTTATTAAAATTCAAAATTTCTTAAACCTTTGAAAAACTTTGAACGTGTTAAATAAAATAATTTTGCATTATGTGTTTTCTCAGTTCTCAAATTAATGAATAAAAGTGTTATATGAAAATTTTGGTTATGAAATACTGGATAATAGTCTTAAAGGCAGGTCCTTTTTCGTTCGAGCTCTTGCCGTAGAATTCAACAGCATAAATGTTTCACAGCTGGAAATAAGGATGTCAACCAGTATTCAGTGGTTGATAAAATTGACGGTTTCAAAGAAATTTTCATTAATTATCTCAAAAATGAAAAACTGACTAAATTGCATGCTTTATGAATATGAGAAGTGGTAACACGTTTGTGCTAACGTCGACGATTGAAATTAGATTAGATTTGATTTGATTTGAAAATTTTAAGATTTGATTAGAAAAGGCGTTGATGATAGGCAGCAATCTGGTTTGTTTTTTGTCGATGCATTTGAGAAAACGTTAAGATATGAAAATCGCATTCTTATTTTAACTAGTTTATTAATGAATAAACTGGATGAATGGGTTTGATGAGACAAGAATACAACTTGAAAAAATATAGGTTGATACTCAAACTTTGGAGAACTTGTATTTTTAGAGCATTTGTAAAACTAACAATATGAACCTATAAGACTGTTACTAAAAACTTGTGGAATTTTGTTTGTTTTGTCAAGACATGAGGAATGAATAACAAGAATTTCACGTCGTTGTATTGGTTGAGGGTTTGCCTTCCCAAGACGTGATGATTTCATTTGTTTCACTGTTTACATCCAGAACATAGCAAAATGTGTGTAAAGATTTAAATATGCACAAAAACTTACGACCCAACGTCAATTGCAATAAGAAAAGTTTCAAAAAAATTGATCATGTTTATTACAAAGCAATTAAAAGCTTGCTCAATAACTTTTAAAAGTTTCTTTGATGTTTGACCTCAATAGTTCCTTTGATGTTTCAATTGAATCGTTCGTAATTGATTTTTGTCTTTGAAGTTAAACTCGCGTCAATGCTCTTTCATCAACCAATTTGTATTGGACTAAAAAAGTATATAAGAAAGTAAAGAGGAAAGGTGAGACATTTTCTACGATACTTGCTCATCGTGTTGAACTTTTCAATTCTGGTGTTTCCATTATTGAACGGAGAAACTCACCAATTTCTGCTAATTTAAAGAAAAAATTTCATCAACGATGTCTTCAATAAACATGAATGTAGTGGAGATTGAAAATGCTCAAAATTTAAAAAACGAATTATTAGACGATTCACAATTTGAAACAAACGTGAACTATTTTGAAAATAGGAGAAACATGAGCATTTACAAAGGCAAAAGGTTCAAGAAAAGATATAATGCTGTAAGTAACAAAATAGAAAGCTCTAACAACGCTGAAAAAATTTTATCCAACCATAAAATAAATGTTTCTCCAACAAATTTAGATGAACACCTCTCCATAAATACGTCAGTCTGGTCCTCCGAGTCTATCGATCATATCAATTTCAACGACGATTCTGATTCATCATTCATTTCTATCTACCCAATTTATTTCAACGATTGCTCGGCGAGACCTCTAGCATTTGAAGACACCATGAACACCAGACCCACAAATATCCATGAAGATGAAGAATCACTCATCTACTGCATTTCGCATCACAACAACTGTCCTGCACACAGTGCGCAAAGTCGACGATGTTGCATTAAAGACAATTCAGACCACGAAGCGCTTCCAGATATTGAAAGAACCAATAGGTCTGTTGAACCTTTTACCGCCAAAAACCAATCATCGACTGAGCCTGTGTTTCGTCTGAAACCTCTCTGCATGAAAATAGCTATCCCACTTAAGAAAAATCAAAGGAATTGATTTGTGACCCTGAATATGTAAAAAAAAAGACTTCGTGATAAATGGAAGAACTGCTGATTGGAAATCTCCCTAGACCATTGAATCCATTATGCAAAGCATATGTTGATACATTTCATTTGATTTTGTTACTAATTTGCGATTGTTGTTACTTTTTCTCTTACGATTTGTGATAGATGATTTGATAATTTTCATTCTGTTCTTTTCTACTTTTGAATTTCGGAAACATCGAATGGACTGTACTTTTTTTTAGCATTTTTTATGTAAATTTTGTTTTTAATAATAATCCTAAATGTTCAATTATGAAGATTTGTACTTTTAACCGCATTTTCGTACATTTTGTAATTTTATATATTTCGTTAATCACATATAACATCTGAATAAACGTTTTAAACTCAGCTTCACGGATAAATCTTTTTTCATTTGTACATGCCGACCTTTTTCGAAACATGTCCGAATATCAAAGTATACCAAATGCTTTGTTTTTATTTTGTTTTCGCTTATATTCTGCTATTAAGGTTCTCAGCCGCTTGTCTTAATTTTTAAAATTCGATTAATTTTGGAAATTTTATTTTGTTATAGCATTTTTAATCGTAAATAGTTCGCTCGTCTAGTATGGTTTGGCTTTGACAATTAAAGGTTCACTATTCAATGTTACATGTGTACGTATGTCTGTTAAGGTCGTCATTATGGACACATGTTTAATTATTAACTTTAATTTTGGTTTGAATGTTTTTCATTAACAGTTTTTTTCATGTTTAGGTCGATATTGAAAATAAATAATAAACATTGAATTATTCAGATTCCACAATCTTATGGAAATTTCACATTACTAAATGTATTGCTGCCTACCATAACATGAGCAAAACATCAACAACACTAAACACGCGTTGGCGTTTGAAGGAATAGCTAAATAATATTTTGAGATGTTTTTTTTATGACTTGCACAATCAAACTTCTTAGAAAAAAGACAGTTTGAAAAATATAAATTTTTTCACGTGCAGATAAAACAATGCAACAGCTAGCACGAACCTTGTTTCCTGTCTTCATTGTTAAGTTCAACTATTTATATTTGAATATATAAAAGCCACCATAAATAGAGTTTATTGTACTGACATTCAGCAAGATCAATAATATTCTCACCTTTGTCACAGATCTGAATTGGTGATATATATATAATAAATATAAGAACACAACAGTTGTCAATATGTAGAATTTTATTTTCAAAGATCATTTTTAACATCGTTCACGAAGTGATGTAAAGTAAATAAATAAAATAAAATTTTATCAAATAAATGAAAAAAAATGAAAAATTAACTTAAATATTCAAATTAAATAATATAAATGAAAATAATAAAAAAATCGGCAATGCGGATGATCTCTGCTTTGTTGTTCATCACTTCATTACCATCATCGGTCAACTCGTTAGCATCAGCAGTTGACAAGAAGTATGGAATGATAGGAGAGCCCAAACAACCCCATGTGTTTGGCTCCCGAACCTACCACAGTACTAACTAACATACGATCCTTACTGGAATGTTCTACCAAATGTTCTCATTATGTTTCTCCCACTGATGGTAACATCACTTGCAACTAAAGAAACAATTACAGATCCTCTATTGCAAAAACATTTATAGTAGAAGGTAAAGGAACCACCAAACTTTTAATTTATTCTGACTGGTAACATCTGTATTGCTCCTGAAGGTTCAATCATTCCAAAATATTTTTATTATATAAGATCTCAAGGACAGATGAAATTTCAAATATTTGAAAGTACTTAGTTATATGTTTAAAAAAAGGTTCCACATTTTTCTGAATAAAAGTTTTATATTAATATCACTATACTATATTTTTTAAATTTAAGTTAAAAAACTCAAAAATGAAACAGTTAATTGTATTAGATAAGTTGTTATGTTATGATATTATGGTATAGTTTTGATGAATGTTTAAATTTTAAATCTGCGTTTGTTAATTATCGTCCGTTGCATTTTTTACATTGATTTGACTTTTATTTACTGCAAAACGCTGCTCATAAAAAATAAATTGAAACGTATTGAAAAAAAAATTATGTTGGTTAGTACCGTGGTAGGTTCGGAAGCCAGCCACCTGGGGTTGTTTGGCTTCCCCTTCATTCCATACTTTTTGTCGACAGCTGAAGCTAACAAGTTAACTGATTATTATTTTCATTACAAAACTTGGTCAAATGTTTAGTGACCATTTGTTGTTTAGATGCCAGGTGCAGAATAAAAATTTGAAACCCAGACAATGAGTATGATAATGCTTAACTGATGCCAATTTTTTTATGCTTTGCTTTTAATTGTTAGTGTAAATGTGATGAACATTTCGTGTCCTGCCCAGTACAAGTAATACTGATTCATAATATTTTAGTTACTTTGTAAAATTGAAAGTTGGAATATAAGCAAACTTAAATGCCAGATTACATGGAATGATTTTGAGTGAAGTCACTGTTTCTTAAAATAACATTCATGAAATTATGTAAAAACAAATTTTTTGATTTTTTCTGTATATATTTTACCACAACTGAAACAAAACAATAACGAATGGCATTCGAAAAAAAAAAGTTGAAAATATTTTTTAGATATTTTTAACAAATCCCATCATGGAATTATTTAAAAACATTTTTAATGAACCTGAAGAAAGCAAGTTTTTATAAATAAATCGATGCGTTCTGAACAATAAGAATGTATAATTTTTTCATTGTACCCAAAACAAAACACACAACAACAAAAAGAGCAGCATAAATCAGTTAGTTCCCCCGGCTTACTTTGTCCTGGCCAACATTTTATTGTTGAATGTGAACAAAAAATAATTTATTTCACTGACGTTCGGTAAAATCAATAATTCTGTGCTATGAAGAGAGATTTATAAACAACGCAATATCTGCTGGTATACACAATTATAAAATTTAAAATTATTTCTGAATATAAATCTCCATCTCATATTGATGTAAAAACAATTAAATTAATACCATAGTATAAAATTTATATTTTAAAAACAGATATTAAAAATACACAACTATTAAAGAGAGAATAATTGAACATTCGACAATGTGGCTGATCTCAACCTTGTTGTTCGTCACTTTTTTGTCATCATCTGTCAACTCGTTGGCTTCAGCAGTTGACAAGAAGTATGGAATGATAGGAGAACCAGACAACTCCATGTGTTTTGTTTCCGAACCTACCACAGTCCTAACCAATATACGATCCCTACTGGAATGTTCTACCAAATGTTCTCATTATGTTTCTCCCACTGATGATAGAATCACTTGCAACGCATTTAACTACATATCCAACAATGCTAGTCATCCAGCTAAATATTGCCAACTATTTCATTTCACTTGCGATGTTCATTACAAGATCATTTTGAATCTAACAAACTGTAAAGCTTACAAGGTTCGTTTATTTTTATATATCCATAAATGCAACTCCATTCTGATCTATACCAAATATTTGAAATAAATTAATGCTACGTTTCGAATCTAGGATGTTGGCTTTATCACTCCGCTTTGTTAGTAGAATTTAATTTTTTTCTATTTTAATGTTTCAAAAGTTAATATTATTTGAATTAAAAACATGAAAAATAATTTAATTTAATATGTTTATTCACTGACGTCAAGTAATTCTGGAAGCCAAGAAGTTCAAAATTATAAATTTATTTTTCATGCTGTTAAATAAAAATAAAAAAAACTAATCAAACAAAATTCACAAAAAAGCAAATTTGCTGTGAGTTAAATGATAGTTTTTTTTTGCACAGCTCTTAATTACCCTACGACTCTGAGCAAATCCTGCAACTTCCCATTCACCTTCAACGGTGGATTGTTCTACTCTTGTTCCAACTCACTACCTGGCATCAGCAATCCTTGTGCTCTCTACATGTGTCTCACTGCTAACAGGCAGTTGTCCATCTGTCTCGACCCTCAGGGTTTGGTCATTGATAATTTTTCTCTTTCATAAACTTGATAGAAACATGTTTTACTACTGAATATATACTAGAAAACCTTGTTGGATTTAAATAGCAAGCAAGTCGTGTATATATTGAGAGTATTGAAACTGCTGTTTGTTTCATGTTTATTTAAGTAAATATGTATATTTTTATTTATAACTTTATTTTACGAAGATGAAGTTAAAAAAAATTCTAAATAACAAACAAGCACAGGAAACAATGTTAGAAATGCTAAAAAAGTCGAACGTGTTCATTAATCATTCAGAAAAAACATTTTCATACGGTGCTCCATATGAAAACATTATTTCAATCATATTTGCTTTATGACATTAAAAACTATCACCTGTATAGAATTCTTCGGCGTCAACCAAACTATTCAGTTGAACATCCCAACGTTCCCAAATGCAACTCCTGTCACGTCTGTCAATGGATGGATTGTCATTCAGCAGAGAGTTGATGGCTCGCAAAGTTTCAATCAACTTTGGGATGAATACAAAGTATTTTTATATTAAATATTATTACATTGTTATAAAAATTATGCAATTTTTAGTCGGGATTTAGAAATTACAAGATTTGGAATGACTTGTGTTTTGCATTTACTAGTATTTATGCAATTTTGCAGTCAGGTTTTGGTGTTTACGACAAAAACTTCTGGCTGGGCTTGGAGAAGATGCACCAACTGACGACATCGGCTGATTACAGGTTGAGATTTGAAGTTCTCATCAATGGTGTTTGGTACTCTGATGAATATGATCATTTCACGGTTTGTAATTTACCAAAATAAATTCTTTTTAAATAACATTATTTATAAAATTTATATGAGAAAAGTAATAAACATCTAATTTGTAATATAATTTTTTAATTTGTTTGTAATTCTATTTTTGTTTATCTGATAAATTTATGTAATATTTCACTTCATTTTTACTGAATTTTCATAAATTCAATTCGTTTATAAAACCAAGATCAAATCAGAAACTCAAAAATATTCCTTCCACGTATCCGGTTACATCGGTGATAAGTGGGATGTTTCGGACCTCCACAACGGAATGATGTTTTCAACTCCAGATCAGGATAACGATCAATTGCCATCAGCTAGTTGTGCTTCGGTTTATATATCAGGAAACTGGTTCAACCAATGTGACCATCAAAACTTAAATGGCGAGTATGGTACCACTCATTTATATTATGTTGCTCCTAATGTCACTGCCTGCAGGATGATGATCAAACCCAACCCTTGACGACCGCGTCTGAAGTTAAGCCATGAGGGGCACTGGACGAATTCTGCGATACGATACATTAAGTAACGATACGATACGTAACGATACGATACGTAACGATACTCTATTTATACTGATTATTCATAACTTATGAAGAACTATTTGTTAAATATTTAACATTTTAGATGATTTAAATTTTTTCCAATATTTCAACCTATGCTTTTAAAATTCTCGTAGAAATGTTAAATAGTATTAACAATCTTTAGCCTAAAACTTATATCAACTACACATTTTTAATTGTATATCTTGTGCAATTTTGCTTTTTAAATAATTTTAGAACGAAACAAACTCATGTGAAATTCAATAATTAAATGATAAACATTATATTGACCCTGCTTTACGTAATAAATGAGATAATTTTTAAACTTTTGAATGATGGCAAGTTTGTAGAATGAGAATTTTTGACGTTCGTTTAATGATGTTTTTCTGATCCAGTATAATCCATATTACCAAAAAGGGGATTGCAGAGTGAGTTGTCGATTGAAGTCTGCGGTAAGTATCACTATTGACGCTATTCTTACTAGTTCCGCTGTTGAACCTGTACCTCAAAACTGACCTCACCAGTTGGATAAGTTAAGACAAAGATTAAAAGTGAAATAAGAATAAAAAGATTGTAAAGAATAGTAGCAAATAATGATAGCAAAACCGAACTGAACATTAGAACTTAATCTTCTTCCAAATTAGAGAACATCGACAGACAGTTTAATTGCCCCCCGATCGATCTGTGGACAACGACGCTTTAAATAAATAACTCCAGGATGAATACAATTAAAAGACAATAACGACATAATTGCTGGTAGAATGCCCTATTGTTTTGAATTAATTTTAAATTTTCGAATGTTTCAATATCATATAATTAAGTTGATACACTAAAATGGCTGTTTCATTACATGAAAATTATTTTTTTCAAATTGAAAAATGTAATTTGTGGTTTCAATGTTTCTAAGAAACTGTTTTTAAAATTTGTTTTCTGATGCAGTTGTTTTGCATATGTCGATGTGAATATTCCAAAAAGAACAATTTACTGGTGAACTACACAGAAACGACTACTCTGTTTGAAACGTTTCAAAAGGACTGACTTTTAATTATTCATTGAAGCCATGCAATGGATCAATGATCATAAATTAGGTTGTCGAATAACAATGTCAATAGCACGTATGTAAAGCTAGTTTTAAAGTTAATTATACAAACACGTACGGAATTTTGAAAGTTATTGGAATGCAATATATTGAAATTAAGCAAAATTATTTGTTAATATAGCTTAGAAAAAGTTGATTTCAACATGCGGTTAGTTTTATTTGTATTTCTAATCGAGCTGCAAGCATCAGCGGCCGGTAAGAAGTATGGAATGATAGGAGGGCCAGACAATCCCATGTGTTTCGCTTCCGAACCTACCGCAGTACTGACCAACATACGATCCCTACTGGAATGTTCTACCAAATGTTCTCATTATGTTTCTCCCACTGATGATAGAATCACTTGCAACGCATTCAACTACATATCCAACAATGCTAGTCATCCAGCCAAATATTGCCAACTGTTTCAGTCCATTGGCGATACTCAATGTAAAATTGATCTAAACAGAACTCACTGCACAGGATATTTGGTCAGTTTGTATAGTTTTGTTTGCAGGTTTTTCTAACTTCATTACTTGTCATCCACTTATATTTGATTTTTTGCAGGAGGTTGCGGTCAAAGAAGCACTATGTTAGTTGAATATTTTCTACATTTTTAAATTAAATCAACTTTACATTTCCCGATTTTTTAAATCAATTTAGCAGTTTTAATTCTAAGTTTTGTTTGCCATTAATTGTGAATTCTTATGGCCATATATTCGGATGTATCAAAATTTTTTTTTGTAAAGCTCTTAATTATACCACGACCTTAAGCAAATCCTGCAACTTTCCATTCACCCTCAACGGTGGATTATTCTACTCTTGTTCCAACTCACTACCTGGCATCAGCAATCCTTGTGCTCTCTACATGTGTCTCACTGGTAGCAGGCAGTTGTCCATCTGTCTTGATCCGCAAAGTTTGACGGCATTCAATTTCACTGTTTTTGAAATTAAATACTATTTTTGCTGCTTATTATGTGTTTAAAACATATCTATCTTTGTTGAATTGGTTCAAAGACATTTAGCTTTCAGTGTTATATATTTGGCTCAGCCTATGATGGTGTCAACAAAACACTTCTGTTGAACATTCCAACGTTTGCTAACTCAACTCCTGTTACGTCTGTTAATGGATGGATTGTCATTCAGCAGAGGATTGATGGCTCGGAAAATTTCAACCAAAGTTGGACCGCTTACAAGGTAAACACGTAAACATAATTTTCCGCCTAACATTTGCCTAAAGTTTGAACAATTTTGCAGTCAGGTTTTGGTACTTACTATCAAAACTTCTGGTTGGGCTTGGAGAAGATGCACCAATTAGCCACGTCGGCTCATTACAGGTTGAGATTTGAAGTTTTTCTCAATGGTTCTTGGTACTCTGATGAATATGATCATTTCATGGTTGGTCTTTAGCTAACGTGTAAATTTTTAAGTACAATTGAAAATAAATATTTTAAAACAAAAATGATAATGCTTAATTCGTTAGTCTAACGATGTTCAAATATGCTGTTCACGATAATTAATTTGTGTTTCCAGTTTGAAAATTTAATTTGACGTCTTTTGAGCCTACGTACCATATCAATTTTAATCATTTTTAATTTTTCAATTTTAAAATTAATATACGGTCTCAATGTTTCTAAAAAAATTGTTTATGAAATTTGATCTATAATTTGACAAATCTAATCAATAAATAGACAAATCTTACAAAAAAAAGATTAATTCAGAGGTTGAAAAGTATTCTCTCAACGTTTCTGGATACAGTGGAGATAAGAGAGACATTTTGAACTGTCCGTCAGTTAGCAATTTGGTCCAAAATGGCATGAAGTTCTCAACTCCTGACCAGGACAACGATCTAACAGACATTAGAAATTGTGCTGTGGTCTATTCATCTGGGAATTGGTTCAATGACTGTGGCTACCAGCATGTGAACGACATTTTCGGTTCAAATCAGTTCACCTATGCGTCATCTAAAATTATTTTCTGCAGAATGATGATTAAGCGCAAGCTGTAAGAATCTTTAAAATGATTGATTCACTCCTATTATTCTATCGACATATCAAGATAATTACATTGAAGATATTATTTTTTGCTTTTATAATCTAAACATTAATTGTATATGAAGTTTCATATTTTTTAAATAAGGTTATTGTTTGAAATATGCTTAATAACCTATTTCAATCTATATTCTTTAGTAACATCAATTTAATAAATTTAAAATATATTAACTTTTCTTACTGCAGCTGACCAGTTTCTATAATTGTCTACTCATTTGGGAAGATGAGTTATTAATAGGAATTTTATTGATTAAAAAATATAGTTTACACTTGAAAACGTGCAAGCAAAGTTAGAACAATACGTAATATTATTACTCGAACAAATTTCTTTATATAATTAAATTGTGAATGTAAAGCAGTGTTAAAAGTGAATAAAAAGTTTTTATAAAAGTTCTGAGTTTGAATATCTTTATTTGAATAGTATTTACAGTTAAAACCAAACGTTGCCAACTTTAGAGGAATAATTGCTATTTAAAAATGGTTACAGAGAAGATAATGTTTGCTGTTTTGTTACATATAAAAATTTACATATAGCGTTCAGTCCGTATTAGACATTATCGTCGCAAATATTTAAAAAAGTCCGGTGCTCTCAATTGCTGAGTTTGATCATCATCCTGCAAGATGAAACATCTAAAAACTTTTTCTTAACCAAGACATAATAATTGAGTGTTATGCCGTAGACTCCATTCAAATTCTGGTAGTAAAAATAATTGAACCAGTTCCCTGAAGATTTAGTGTACCCATAATTGTATCCAGATGGAGTGTTCACTTGATCAGACGTTGAGAACTTTATGCCGTTGTGGACGCTGTTGCGATCCTCGCTGTTCAGAATGTCGCAGTTGAATCCAATGTACCCAGAAACGTATTTTTCAAGTGCTGAACCAATCTGGAAAAATTTTAAATGTAATATAATGCGATAATTGTAACCTGAGTTACTTAATTTACACGCTGACCTGGTTCGAAATTTTCTTCTATAAATGATATCAAAAGACCGAATGATATAAAATGATATCAAATGGTATCAGATAATATCAAAGCCTCGTGCGTATGGTGTGTGCTGGCAATTGCTTTCAGTATGTTTGAACTGGTTTTTTTTTGAAGTGGCAAAAAAGTTTAATTGCATGCAGATATGAAATAAAAATTTAGGAAAATTATTTTGAATTAAAAATATTTAAACGTTAAAATTAATTTTTCAAGGTTTATGACATGAGCGAGCTCAAAAAAATTTGATTCAGCATGAACAGCGAATGAGACATTATAATGCAAATGCAAACTCGAAAATGTTCATACTCATCAGAGTACCAAACGCCATTGGCAAGAAATTGGAACTGCAACCTGTAATCAGCCGATGTCGTTAATTGGTGCATCTTCTCCAGGCCCAACCAAAAATTTTTATCGTAAATGCCGAAACCTGACTGCAGATTTTTAAAATATAATTTGAAAATGTTAATAAAATGAACACATTAAATTACTGTGTAGGCATTCCAGAGTTGGTTGAAACTTTGCGAACTGTCAACTCTCTGCTGAATGACAATCCATCCATTGACGGACGTGACAGGAGTTGAACTAGCAAACGTTGGAATGTCCAACAAAATTGTCTCATTGACTGCACTGTAAGCTGTTTTGATTTCAGATATTTTCATGATATGAGAAAAGATATTAATTTCATGAATTAAAAAAACTGTTTGCAAAAACATTTTCACGTAACATAAAACGAGAATTATACAAAATTGCCAATAGAATACAGAGACGTAGGGCAAGAGACTTTCGAAAGAGTTATGAATGAATTCAAAAGAATATACGCGTAAATTTCATGACTGTTGGCTTGAAATTGCGTCAGCTTCTTAAAAATCAGCAATATTTTGAAACTCTAGAAAAATTGCACATATTTTAATAAAGAAATAAAAAAAATGGAATAAATCAAAAACGGCCGTCAATTTCTTTCTAAAACATCCCAACCCCCAAACCCTTTACCAAAATTTCAGACTACGTCACTGTTTGGATATCAAATTATAACGTAAAACCTTGAGGATCAAGACAGACGGACAACTGCCTCTTACCAGTGAGACACATGTAGAGAGCACAAGGATTGTTGATGCCAGATAGTGAGTTGGAACAAGAGTAGAACAATCCACCGTTGAAGGCCAATGGAAAGTTGCAGGATTTGCTCAGAGTAAAAACGGTAATGTTATCTTTATGAAGATTGTCATCATAAAAAGATTATAATATTAGTTATTTCAATTTAAATTTTGAATGTCAATTACTTTTGATGTACTACCATTGTTACAACTTACCAAGGGTATGATTTTTATTCTTGTAACCAGCTGCAGAAATTTAACTATTTGTAAATGTTTGATAGACAATATTAAAAAATATAAAACCGACCTAATTCTTGTCTGGCTGCAATGTCCTTCATCCAAAATATTGAAAAAAGAAGATAAATTAATTCAATTGAATGAAATAATTCACTTTATTCAAGAATAGTTCACCTCATATGATCGGCAGTGAGACTTGTTCAGAACAATCTTGTAATGAACCTCGCAAGTGAAATGAAACAGTTGGCAATATTTAGCTGGATGAGTAGCATTGTTGGATACGTAGTTGAATGCGTTGCAAGTGATGTTACCATCAGTGGGAGAAACATAATGAGAACATTTGGCAGAACATTCCAGTAAGGATCGCACGTTGGTTAGTACTGTGGTAGGATCGGAAACAAAACACATGGGATTGTCTCTCCTACCATTTCATACTTCTTATCAACTGCTGAAGCCAACGAGTTGACAGCTGATGATGATGATGATGAGGTGATCACCACAAAACAAACAATAAAGCACTTCATATTTACCCAAAATTTATATTTATTATTAGAAAATAATTACTTTCGTTTCATTTAAATATATTACAATTAAATTAATACTAGGTACCATTAATCTACTTTATTCTCGAAATTTTTCTAATTTAATTAAAAAAAATTAATTTCCGTTTTAAAATTTTATTTTACTCTACCCTATTGTCTTAATTTCGTTTTGCACCGCTGGTTGGCCGGCCATATTGTAAGCTAATGTTGCGTAGAATCCATCTCACTTATATTAAAACTCATAAACTATAATATATATAATAATAATAATATATAATATAATATAATATTATATAATATATATCATGTCACGTGTCGTCATGTCATTGGTGCAGTCATATTTTCAAAGTGGCTTTAATGTTACTACAGACAGATAACTTGTATTGTGTGAATCATAAACATTAGCTTTAGGAATTTTAAAGCAGGAATTGATTGTTGGATGAATAACATATAACATAAATTTCACCAAATGTCCGTTAGTGTGTTGAAAATTAGGCTACTGACCTTATGGCCCCCTCCCGGCCCACCCACTCCCCTAGATCCGCCACTACTTCTAATAGTCAAACAAGCTTACTTAACATGTTCACATATTCAGTTCTCGTTTAATTCTACCCACCACCAGCAATGGTGATGATGTTTAACCAGTTTTCATTCACGTTATAACTCAATGAAGAACTTCTCAAAATTGCCGACAAGAAGATTTTTAAAAAACTCTTTCCAGTTCTTTCTAATGACAGATGTTATATTAAAAAAATATGAAATTAAACAAAACTAAAATAATTTAAACTGATAGTTTTTTAGTATATCAGAAATGTTGTTTTACGTCATTTATTTATTCTTCAAAGAAAACAACATGAACAGAATTAAGCTACTCTTGTTTTTCTTACTAATAAGTTATTTCAATATTAAATTTTGCAAAATAATCATTAAATTATCATTTATATAAATATTGAACTGCTTATTTATTTCATACTTGTATTTTTATTTATCTCAAATAATGCCATTTCTAATACCTAAATATATTTTCATTTCAGAAAACACCAGCCATTTGCAATACAACGTGTCTTATTTTGACGAACAGCATCGAGAAATTGATTTTCCCAGCATTGCGGTAAATTAATAACTACAAATATAATTTCGGAATTAATAATTAAAAAATATTATTAATTAAAATATTTCTACTTAGAATTTGACTTCATTTAAAATGCAACTCAGAAATTCTTCCTCAACTTTTTGCGAATTCCATCTACAAGTGAATAAGTGAGTTCGACCGGACAGTACCATTTTGGGAATTTTATAAGTTTTAGTAATTTTTCCGCTAATTACATGTTATGTTACTTCAGCGAGCATTCATCAATTTACAATACTTTGTGATTGCATATTTTAAAAAGTCTGTTTAAAACACTTGACAACGATGTTAAGAGATTTTGTGGGATTGCGTTAATTTACATTATTGTTAAATGTTCATAGTGAACGCAATAAAATGCTATTTTAGAAAATTGCAACATTTTTGATACTAAATAGTTCAGGGGTGGGCTAACTTTTTGCTGTGGGCCGCATTGAGAACCATTTCACTTTAAAGTTCCGCATATTTACTTAAATAGCAAATTTTTTTTGAACCAGGGGAAAATTTTTTAAGATTTGTAGTTTTTTTTCTTTTTTTGGTCATAATGTCTGGCTGAAGACCAGTTTTTGGGGCGAACAGGGCCGCATAAAATAGCTTCACGTGGGCCGTGGGCCATAGTTTGCTCACCCCTGCTATATAGTCTATAGTTTGAATAGTTTTTTTTAATTTTTGCAACTCTAAATAATAATGAAATAAATAAAATAATAATCACTAAAATAAATTACGGATCCAAAATGATTAAGTCAATCAAGGATCTTAAAAATCATTTTCTTAAACTTTCCAGTTTTTTATTTATTTGTTTTTTAGTTATTTATCTCCACGCCTATATCTTAAAAATGTAACTTATGATAATTTACATTTAAATCTTTTTAAAAAAAAATATTTACTTGTTTATTTTAGAGAGTTGATTTCGAAAAACTTTGAATTGCATGTTGTCGGGGAAAACGGCGTTCGTGAAAAAGTCAATGAAAAAGTTGGCTTATAAATCTATATTTTTTAATTTTCGTTTTTTGTTAATTTTGATATTAATTTAAAAAATTTTAATAAATTGTTAAAATTATATTTTATTTTCGATTGTTGAAATGAGAAAACTTACTTTAGTATAGTTTTCTATGTTGATTCAGATTAACGAAAATTAAAAAAAAATTCAGCAACAGTTTGTCAACATGAGTGATTGTGTCCAACAGTGATCAAAAACAATAAAAAAAATGACTAATAATTTAATTGAATATTTCCTAAAAAAAACTAAAAAAATTAAATCTTTTTTTACGATTAGGACAAACTCACGACCAACAAACAACCATTTATGAGTTTCATGTTAATCTGAGAAACAAATTTTAACCATGATTTTTCCATACACTTAATCACACACAATTAAGTGCTTTAAGTAAACACATACACTCTCGTGAATTAATCCCAAATTCCATCCGACAAACTCCACGCGGCAACACCATTCCAGCCAAGCAGATGCTACTACCAGGGGTACGTGAACGGAAACTCCAGCTTGAAAGTCGTCCTGGCCGTCTGCAGAACTATACGGTACATTTGGTGTATTACCAATTTTTAGATATTTTCAGGTGAATTTAGGTATTCTCATTTTACTTAACTTGAATAGTTTTGGTACTACGTTAACGCTTTCTCGCGTAATATATCATACTTTTACTAGTCTTGAATTTTTGGGACAAAAATTTAGGAATTTTCTTTATTTGGGAGTAATTTAATTTTTGGTATTTACTTAATTATTACAAATCTTTTTTCAATATTTTTCAGTGGCATCAACAACAAACACACACACAGTGCATGTGAAACAACGCATCACACACACACCTTGCACGTGGCAGGCCGGGATCTCTGCTATCGAATGCGGTCACTGCCAAAGAAAAGCCAGGCACTTTACCGCAACACCATCGAACCGCCCTTTGTCGTGTTATGTTTATGCGGAAAAAAAAATTTGATACCAATCAAGAATAATTTAAAATTATTCTTTATAATATTTGTTTATCTATTGTTAATCAAAAATTAGTGGATTTTTCAATTTGAACAACGGGCTCTACAATGTAATTTCCTCCGACAAAGATACGTTCTCCATTGTTGACGTACTGAAGATCCCAAAGGATGTGAAGTTTTACTGTGGTTAGTTACAGAAATAATTTTTACAAATGCGTAGACAGTTTATTTCAAATTTTAGCCACCAAGTAACTAAATTCATTATTTGCTCGCGTTGTTTAGCTGATGTTTAGCTTGTATTGATGAGGGTTAATTTTAATTTTAGCCTCATTTGGTGAATTTCATGGCCCCTCTCCCGTTTCGCCATCAAAACTTTAAATTGGTCCCCGCAACATAACTGCGCGGTACCAGCAGTCACCAAATTTTATTTCAAATTGAAACTTTCTAGTCAAAATTTTGACAAATTAACGATGTTATCAATTTCTACTACTAATTTCTACTACTAATATTTCTACTACTAAAAAATCTACTACTATTCATCTGCAGTATCATTCTCGTTATTTTTTTTTTCATATTTCCTACTGAGTAATTTTATTTTTCAATGCAGGCATGGGAAACGAAACTATTGGAATATTTGACAGAAACAACAACTTGTTTCCCAGCTTGAACGTTTCGAAAAAACGGGTAAATAATTATTATTATTACTGTTATTATTATTATTATTATTATTATTATTATTATCGGATAATACGTGAACAATTTTTATTTCCTTTTTTTATCATCCTTGTACTCGCATGTAAATGATGAGCTTGGATGACTATAAACATTTTGTATGTTCATGATAATTGACTTTATATTTCCCATTATTATTATTATTATTATTATTATTATTATTATTATTACTATTATTATTATTACTATTATTATTATTACTGTAATTATTATTATTATTGTATTATTATTATTATTATGAATAGTATGACTAATTAACCCACGATCACTACAATGATTAAGTATAATAATTTTGAAAATTGTTCGAAGGTCGAAAAGAAGAGTGTCGAATTTGACAGAAGGGTCCGCATCATTAAAACCTTCTTCACCATTGACTTCACTCAGGTGAAATATTTTTTGACGTACTTTTGTTTATGTCATTCAGTTTTTTCTATAATGTGACAAAATTGTTATTTTTAAAATTACGACGTCTAATGGGGAGATAAATCATAAATAAAACTTTAAATAAAACAAAATCGAAACATTTGCCAAAAAATTTAAAATCATCACAAGTTAACAGGTTAATATACACCCTACCATACACCTAATTGAAGCCACAATATAAATGGCTGGCTAAAATGTTGAAAATCTGTAAACCATCGGGTGTTCCTTACTCAAGTGAAATTACAATAGAGCAAGACATATCCAATCAACTGGTAGAAAATGGACGCCATTCAAACTTTATAGAAAAATATTTACGATTAATTCGATAAAAAAACGTGTAAATTTGTAGCTATTATAGCATCTCAACGTCTATTCTAAATTCTAAATTATTTTTTCCCAATAAAGTATGAAGACAGTGGAAAAGATGAAAACAATGCAACCGAAAGACTTCTCTTGGTCATTAATGGTGCTTCAGTGGTACGATCAGGAATATAAAAAATTTAAATTGCCGATCTAAAAGAATAAAAAATTATGATCTATTTTTGCAGTTCTTTCAAGATCAGGACATATTTATAAGTGTCGTTGGAATTGATATCTGGAGTGCGCCGAAATTCGATATAAGCTCCGATGGAAAGGAATTCATTAGCTTTTGGATAGATTACCAAGACACAAACGTCAGGCCGACAGCTGTGAATCACGACGCCAGCGTCATAGTCATGTTAGTACTTTTTGGAGTTCCGGTAAAATTATTCACTTGTTTTTTTATACCAAAAGTCTTTTATAAATTTTGTAAGGTCAAAATAGGTGCTAATTTTGATAAGAGTATGGATGATAAAAAATTTATGGGTGTTAGTGACTACCATCATTATTTGGTGAAATACTTTTGTAGAAATAAAGATATGGGTCCGAGTCTTGGCTACGCTGCAACTGGCTCAATGTGCAAGCCGAATGCTGCCCTGTGGGTCAAGGTTGTTTAAAAGCGACGATTTGGGATGAATGTTTTTTTACATGAGTTTGTGCATTTTAATTAGATATCTAAATTAGCTTTTGAACAGTTGTCCAAATAGTCCTACAATAAATGTAACGTTATTTGCTTGCTGGCAATATAATCAAAAAGAATTTTTTAATCTTTGTAACAACAGTTCAGTCCATATGACATCACGTCGTCAGCCACTCTCACTCACGAACTTGGACACGTCTTGAGTTTGCGGCACGACAATAGTTATCCAGACTGCTCCTGTAGTAAAGACCCGTGCGTCATGGAAGACGCCATTGAGTGAGTTGGCAAAAGATTTTACAAGGAACCTTTCTTATTTTCAAACATGTTTTTTTCTAATAATTCAAGTGGATATGATTTGTTTCAAATGAATTGTTTACACGTTTTGTAAATATCTAGCTAGTTCAAAAATCAAGACCTTCAAATCTTAAAAAATGCAAAATTTAAATACCTGGTCTAGCTCAAAATGAAAAAATGTAATTAGATTTCACGGTCAATTGTTGAGCTCTCATTTCGTTGTTTATACTTGTTGAAATGTTGCTAAAAAGAGCTGTTATTGTGGAATGTGGCGCTACCATTCACGTATAAATTGGCTGGCAAAATCGTTCGATGAAAGGATCCATCTTGTCAGTTGGTTGTCCTACTTATTAATTGCTAGTGTTCCACGAAGAATGGCAACAACGCTTTCACAAGTGTGCAAGTTCATTCTTTCAATGTTATTTTTGCAGGTAGTTATGCTAACCTTGCATTCTGCGATAGCTTTCATAGCTCTTTAATTGAAGGAAAGTTTTTGTTGGCAAAAATTACGACTGGGAGCGGTTGCTCTTTAAAAGCTTTTAATATATCTCCTGTTGTTTTTCAGTCCTTAATTAGTTGTGTTTGACGAAATTTCTCTGACTTAATACTCCCAGCAGTCCTCATGATTCTGTCCGATTCATTCAAATGCGTCAACTTTTCCAACCTTTCCTAATGAGCCAGTGTGCAGTTACAGTGGTTTTCAGTTTTCTTATTGAGTTTTGTGGGTTGGATATAATTAAAAGTGTTACACATGAGTTAAAAAAACTTACATTCTCATAAAAAATTTTGCAATTGTAATATTATTCATTCATAAATCTTTCAGCTTTCAAAATCAGCTTCCAGTTACCTGGTCTTCCTGTTCAATTGAAGTCTTAAAGAATGTTTTCGAGTGGTATTTATGCCTCTTTGAGCCTGCAGAGTTTGAGGGCAACAAGTTTGAATGTGGAGATGGATTGGTGACAACAGGGGAAGATTGTGACTGTGGGGGATTGAAAAATGATGTAATAGTTTGTCTTAAAAGTTATTCTTTAAAACTGATGTTTCAAGTTTAATCAAGAATTACTTTTATTTATCTTCAAATAGGAATTAGTTTTTTTATTGCGTTGAGCAACCGTTATTTTAAAATCAAATATAACAATTTGGACATAAGTTGTGTTCGAATACGTGCTGTGATCCAAAAACATGCAAGTTTACAACTGGCTCGCAATGCTCAACTGGACTTTGCTGTGATATAGGCAGCTGTCTGGTGAGAACATTTTGAAATTATGTCTTTAGAGGAAAATTATTATCATTATACCAATTATCTTATTATTAATTAAACGTTATAGATAGAGGTTATTTTTTTGAATGAATTTTTTTTCACATATATTTTTTAATTATAAAATAGTTGGTTGATTATAGCAAAATAATTTATATGTTCCCCCCCTTGGAAGCATTGTAGGTACTACCTATTGACTGCATGTTGCACTATTCAAGTTTTTGGTTAATAATATATTGAAAACAAAATTTTGATGATTGAAAAACATTTTTTCAATTTACAACGTACCTGAACGGATGTCATAGCGTTTGGAAATTTTTATTTACATAATTTAATTTAACAAATATTTAATGAGTATTATTTTGTAAAAAAAAATAATAATAACAAGTTGTTTTTATCTTATGCAATTAAATTTATAAAAATCAAATTTGCTACAAACTTCCTTTTATTATGTTGACATGTTGTAAAGCAAACAAAAGATTTTTACTGAATTCTTGAGCAAGTTGAACGAATAAATAAAAAATAATAAATAGTCAAGAACACGAAAATAGTTCTATGAGTAAAATATCGGAGTTTATGCGGTCGGCGAGGCCTTCAGCCAGACATTAGAACCACAAATTTTAAAAAAAATTCACCCCCTGGTCGAAAAAAATTGCTTTTTAGGTACATATGCGGCCCTTCAAAGGCAAAATAGTTTTCAATGCCGCTCTCACAGCAAAAAGTTTGCCCACCCCTGATCTATATTCATAAAAATGGTTCTCTAAGTAAAATCTCAGAGTAGAATAACATGAAAAAATTATTTTTTTAAATGATAGCTCAAGGCCGCCAAGAAAGTGTGCAGACCGTCGCAGCACGACTGTGACGTGGAAGACGTATGTGACGGGCAGTCCAACTTCTGCACTGACTTCGTCAAGCCAGACGGATACATGTGCCAAGTGAGTTTCTTAGTTTTTTTTTTAATTTTCGAAAAAGTTTGGCCACATATATAAGATTTCTAATCAAAATAGCAAAATTTACCTATATGTATATATTTTAAATATATTTTGCTCATAAATACAACAAGTTGTCGGAAAGATTTGTCGACATTTCATTGATTTTTACGCAAAATTTCCTGCTCTGACCACTAAATAAAAAGCTTTATTTTCTAAATGTTTATATTGAATGAATTTTTATTTCAATTTGGGACCACTGTAAAAAAAAGTTTGAATTTAGTTCGCATTTCTGCAATTTTTTGTTTTTATTTTCATTTAATTGTGAGTTTGTGAGGTTCAACCATTCAGTCGTCTATCTGTACATTTAACCATTTACTAATCCACCAACCCTCTTCACGTCATCCAATACATCCGTATTTCAGTTCTGATGGAAATGTTCCAAACTCACGTAACATAGTTACAACTTTAACTTTAACGAACTTTAAATTGAAACGTTCCAACGTCTCGCTGATTTTAAGCCAGTTAAACCGTTTTATTTTTTTATTTAATAAAAGGCTAAAGGTCATTTACACTCTTCCAAAGATCAGATGGTACAACAAAGCGCGCGCAAAAACATTGCATATGAATACATGCCAAACGACGCATCACGCACGAGTCATGTGATAGGCGGGGATCTTTTTGTCATATTCGAACCCGGTTACTGCGAAATAGCACCAGGCGACCTTAACCACTAGGCCATCACGCCACCTTAATGAAACACGAAACGTGAGAATGTTTATATACTCTTTCTTTATTGATTCATCTTGTAACGAACCACCATCTGACACAGAGAGGTCACTTTTGTTACGATGGCACATGTCAGACCAGGGATAAGATGTGCAACAGCTTATGGGGTGTTGAAGGCATGAAATCTGCCGACGAAGAACAATGTTACAGATATAACAAAGATGGTGTAGGTTGTTTCCATTGCGATTATGTACTGAGCACCAAACAGATTATAGCTTGCAATAAAAAGTTTGATACTTTTTCAAAAAAATTTAAACTCTGCGAATTTTTTTATGTGTAGCGAAAATAATGGCAACACATAGAAGAACTGATTTTTAAAATATCATTACAAACATAAAGTGAACATAATTCAGCGATAAAATTGTTGTCACTAATTATTCAATTTAAACTAAATAGCTAAATACGTTCTACATCCTCTAATTTTTATTTAATTTTGTCATATTATGTTTATATTGAATTTATTTCTATGATATTTCATACAACTGTCGTTTGCGCTGATGAAAATCTCACACTGTCAATACTCATTTCATCACCATTCAAAACGTCTGCCCTAATTGATTTGGTGAAGTTCATAAACAATATTAATTATTTTCTAGCTTCATATGAGAAATTGAAATTTTCTCTTAATTTAAAAAAGTTTGTTGAATTTAATAAATGATTCAACTGAATATGTAAATGAATGTTTCAATGTCAGAAGTAAATAACTTACTCGTTATCTCGTTGTTTTACGCGTTATTCAACGCAACTAACTTCATTCATTATCTGTAGGCCTATACTATATTTCATCTTATATCTATAAATATCATACTAATTTTAAACATCGTACCAACGAATTACATAAGATACATACAAATCAATTCAGAGACGTCCTCTGTGGTAGGCTCCTATGTGACTTGACGAATCATTTGAAAGATAAAAGAAAGCACAACATTCAGTTAATCGGTAATGGCTGCGTTTGCACAGAAATCTACAGCAAGGAAGATGTCTTCAATCCAGCTTTTGTTCAAAACGGAGCCAGGTGTGGCCGCAGTAAGGTGACGTTTGATCTTTTTTTTTATAATTGATTTTAAAGAAAATCCTTTACCGTAATTCAATAATTGAATACAAAATGTGGAATAGTTCAATAGAATTGAAACACGCATACGCGTTCGTAAAACAGGTCTGCTTGAATAAGGAGTGTGTTAGCAGAGGGAAAATTGTAGAGAGAAGCATGAGATCTAGCTATAGAGTTTCCAGCAGTTCAATTAACCGTCATCCATCGTCAACCGTCATCATCGTCGCTTTAGGTTTCGGCGTCTTTCTTCTGACGTTGATCCCTCAACTGTAAAAATGGAAAAAATGATTTTGTTGAAGAACATTTATTCGTTATTTTTTACTGGCTTTTGGTTTAACTTCGCGCAAATTTAAAAAAACAGTAATAAATGAAATGACAACGCTGATTTTATTTTTTCGCCATAGACAACTTATAATTTAATTCTAATTTTACATGTCTACACAATAATTATTAAATGTGATATAAAAAAATTAATGAATAATTAAGTTATAGAGCACTACAAACATGCCATGCGATTTGTGGTGAGTGACTAGCGCTAAATTTTAGTTGATCTTTTGCATTTCCATAAGTTTTAAGTCCACATTTTAAAGAAAAAAAAACTTTCAATTTGTATAGCGCCTTACTTCTAGTTTCTGATACTAGTCTAGAATCAACCTACCACATTTGCATGCATCCCCATTCATAGGCTTAAATATGATAGGTTGAAGCATCTCTAGCATTTGAACAGTATAACTGCAACAAAGTGACCAAACACTTCACCGCCACACAACCTCTCACCGTCCAGTGAGAAATTATTTAGTTATTTGCGTTTGGACGCTGTTAACGTTCTAAACAGATTTTATGTTCATTTTTCAAACAAGTTCATTTTAATCAAAAGACAAAGAAAAAAGGTGCAACCTTAGCAATGAATGCTCTATTTTAAGTGACCACACGGGAAGGGAGATGAGAGGCAAAAATCACAAAGAAAAAGTTCTTATGGACTGCCCCTGCCCTAACTGCTGCTAGGAATTTAATTTCTCTAAATCAAGATTGAAAAATTAAATCTAAAATAGTAGTAAATAGTGAAATGTCATTAACTTTTTTTTAGTACTCTTATGAAAGTGGACTAATTTTTTTTTTAATAAAAATCTAAAAACTAATTTCAATAACTCTGTTAAATTTTTTCACTTGCCGGATACAAAATTGAGTCATGAAATGAGTTCAGGTTGGAAAAAAATCAAAAAAATTTTCAATTAGTTTCTACCTTAAAAACCTACCATAATCGTGATTTATATTTTAGAAAAACAAACAGCCTCATATTAAAAACTAACAATAAATTAATTAAAATAGGCTAGCTCACGAATTTGAAGTGTAAATATTTTCCGTGCGTTCAAATTAGTGACACGGCTCATTCAAGATTTATAATCGTCATTTCTAAACATTGTAACCAACTTTTAAAACTTAATTTTCATATAAAGCGACGTTCAGGCAAAAGCCAAATAACTCATTGACAATTATTTTTATTCAGATTACAATTTTTTCATGTAGAACCTAACGAAAGTTTAATAATTTGTGACATTTTAGCAGTGCTGCATCAACAGTTCAATTCTCAACAGGTTTTTATTGAATGATTTGAACGATTACATTTCTTGTTTTAATGGTGAAAAAGAATTTATCTTGTCGATAAAACACAGCACTGTTATAATTTTTTAAAAAATGAAGATAATTAAACGTGTACGCTTTTATTAAATAATTCAAGTTGACAGAGTTAACCTGGTCGATATGGAAGCATTCGAGGCCGCGGTTTTTATATTGATTTTCATGGTTTCTCTATCTTCCAGCCAACATGATCCATACTGGCAAGTGGAAACAGAGGGCTTAGGTAAGTTAAAGTAAATGTTGCTCATGTTCGTGTTGTTGTAAGTGATGACCTACTGTTTTGGTGACTGTTTCATGGTGGAAGAGTTTTATAAAACGAACCAGTTTAGAATTTTATCAAAAATTGAGTTAAATCAATTGTTTACTTTTATTAAAAAATAATTTACTTTTGAAAAATAATTTTTAAATTAGGGAAATTGTTATAATTCGTTCAATAAATTTATTGTACAAAACTATAAATATTCAATCCTCAGTGCAAACATTTTTTTATAGATTTTTGTATAATTTCTAATTCCATCTCTAGCTTTTGCCATTCAAAATTTCTAGTTATAAGAAAATATACAAAAAAGTTGTTAAAAAAATTTTTTAATTTTTAAACGTTCCTTGCCACAATTTGATGACGTCTCCGTGTCAGCCTTTCCCATTCCTACAGCGTACAAACCCGCATGAGTAATATGGCTGAATAAAAAAATTTATTGTTAAAGTGAACACAGTCCAAAGTTTACAAAATTGATTTTCATAAAAAAATTGATTGATATTTAATTTGAGTTAATTGAAGTCTAGAAATTTTTGGGAAAAAAACAAATAAAAATTTGAGAACAATTTATTAAAACGATTTTTTGTTTGTTTTAACATAAAAATTTTTGTTTATTTTTACGCAACAGAATATATGTTAAAAATTAGTGATTAATTCCTGAAATGTTACAAAAAAACAACGTAACCCCTGCTGAATTAGGTCAATCTTCCAAAGTGTCCGCGAGTCATTATATCGAATGTTATTCAAAAGAATATGTAGAAATTTTTATTAACGAATCTGTCATAACAGTTGGATCTTCGTTTACTTTGAATTGTTTGTCCAAAGTTCTGACTCGATGGACGTATCCAACGGTCGGTACCATGCATTTCCCAAGCATATTTAATAAGCGTAATAAAAATTTTGTCCTAGGTTGACAATATTTCTGTGAATACGTCAGAATGTTTGATAAATGATATTATATCATACACAATAATAATCAACGCGAGGAACATTTCTCAAACTGGATTATATACCTGTTCATCAATATCTGATTCTAGGATTGGATCGTCAAAATATATCTACATTTATAGTAAAAAAAATTTTATTTTCAACACAACCCTACTGATTATTCATGAATTAATAAATTTACATGTTGATAAAACGTCAGACGTTGCACTAGATCGCCTGTTCGTGCCTGTGAGTACGTTGGAGTTGGATGTTGTCGTGAACGAAAAACTTGTGCTACCATGCAGAGTGGTGCATCCTTCAGTTCATGTTACATTGCTATCA